GTCCTTGACAAAATCTTCTCTTTGTTCAGGATCATGATGGTTCCCATATAAAGGGGCTCTTAATCAATTTTATCCACTCTTTCTGGCCTACATTACTCAAGGTTCCCTCATTCCTAGTTGAGTTTATAACACCCATTATCAAGGTACCGTCATCCTTGCATAATATCTTATATTATGTGAACATAGTAGATAAAAGAATGTCAACAACTGACCTGAAAATATCGAATTCAGGCTACGCACAGGAGTGGGAAAGTACTGTCATTTTATTCGATGCCTGAGTACGAAGGCTGGAAAGAAAGTCTGAATGGTAATGCAACAGGGTGGAGGATCAAGTACTATAAGGTTTGCTTTCTGTTTGAAAGTAATAAGAGAGCACATTTGGAAACTGCGCATGTTCTCTGTGCATACTAATTGTCCTTGTATCATTCCATCCAGGGGCTGGGTACAAGTACGTCTAATGAGGGCAAAGAGTACTTTGGTAATCTTGGTCTTCACAAGAAGGATTTTGTGTGGGAGGATGAACAAGATGGAGAAGCTATTGAACTTGCATTTAGTAAGAAGAAGATTGAAGCCCGGAAGAGCTGGCTTTTGAACTTTGACGTATGGATGATAACTGATATATCTTTAAAGACATCTGGTTTTTGCTTATTATGTGTGCCTGTTCTAATGTTTCTGTTTTCAATTAGCCTGCCAATCATCTTGACCAGAAGGAACAGAAGATTACGTACAGTGACTTCGTCAACAAAGAACTTATCTTGTTCTCCATGGCGGATCTGCAAAGGTCAATTCCTTCAATGGTTGACGGGCTCAAACCGGGCCAGAGGAAGATACTTTTCTGTTCATTCAAGAGAAACTTCACAAAGGAAGCCAAGGTTGCCCAATTCTCTGGTTATGTGTCAGAGCACTCAGCTTATCACCATGGAGAGCAGAGTCTTGCCAGTACCATCATTGGTATGGCGCAGGATTACGTAGGCAGCAACAATATCAACCTGCTTCAGCCAATAGGTCAATTTGGTACACGAACTTCGGTAAGTATAGCTGATAGAGCTACTGTTGTTGTTTATCTCTG